TATGGCGCTGTAGTGAGTCAGAATTAACTGGATGGCTGTGAGGTACCTGATGATGATTGTGTTTCAATAAAGCAGAGCACGAATGAGGACAAAGTTCAAATCTCTCTGAGTCAGGGGAGACTTAGAAGATTGAGGTCTAGTGCCAGCTCCAACCTTGTCCGAATGGTGCTGACCTTAGGTGTTGAAATAAGGAAAGACCTAACTTCAGATCCCAGGTTGCCACTTCCAAAGTTCTTTGGCACTGGGCAATTCATCTCTCTGTGCCTCAGTGTAAAATGGGGGTAATGAGATGTGCCTCACAGGACTGGCATGAGACTTCAGGATAATCAAATCTATAAACACCCTCACGAAAGTACCTAGAAGATACTCTCTTTTAACTGAGCACCAATGTCTCTTCTTTATACAATTTACTGGACCATGCAATCTTTTACAACCTCAGTTTCCTCATACAGGTCAGGGGAAGACATGAAGACAGTAAGTCTCAGCAGTATCTATTTTGCAATCATTCGAGGGCTTCTTAGGTGTCCAAGGTTATAACTTGACACTCGCTGCTGTTGAGTCTGTGTGGCGGTTAGCAACCCAAAGACCGAGCAGAAGTGACCTTGTGGGCTTCTGAGACGGTAAATCTTTATGGGAGTAGGAAGCCTCACCTTTTCCCTGCAGGGCAACTAGTGTCCAACTGCTGATTTTGCGGTTACCAGCCCAATGTGCATGTCACCCACTAAGCCACCAGGGCGACTCAGTGCCATCGAGTCAATGCCAACTCAGTCACCCTAGAGGACAGGGTCACCTGCCCTGTGAGTTCCCGAGACTGTACCTCTTCATGGGAGTAGAAAACTTCGTATTTCTCCTGTCCAGTTGGCTGATGGTTTCTAATCTTATGGTTACAGCCCAACTCATAACCACTACACTCCCAGGGCTCCTCAGGTGTTCCAGGAAGGACTGAAATGCACAAAACAATACACGGGTTCTGCCGCCAAAAGCAGCACAGGTTAGTCCACGTGTGGGTGAAAAGGAGGAG